GATTGTGGCATCGGCGTTATGAACGAGCAACCATTAGGTGATGTCTCAGGTCAAACTGGATTAACTGCGACAGCAAGCAGTTACGGAGTCCTGGCTTCCTAGACACCTAACCGCCATATGCACCAAAGGATCCCTATAAAAAGCCGAACCAGATTTGGTAGTTAGCATTCTCTAATTCGCTTACAAATACCCTTCTTACAATTTCCAACTCGTTTGGAAAAGTAAGACAACTACTTCTAACCAGACAGCATGGAAGACCGTAGATGCAACAGCAGTGGATAAATCCGCGGAGACGGAGTAGGAACTCGGTTGGAGTTGGGAGAAAAAAAAGGGGGACCTTTTTCGGAGATGGTGCGAGCGGAGACGACGGACAGTCCAGTGGAAACGCGAATTGCGTCCGTGAGCTGTCCTCATTTCATGAAAGTTTTAATGCTATATTTGTAGTTCTTGAAGGTCGCTACGGTTGATGTTTTATTTCCCAGGCCTCTAAGGATACGGCTAAACGAAATAGTAAATGCGGATAATCAATTCCGACCTAAAATGAACCAGGAAATACCCAACAGCACTAAGAGTTCAGGTTGACAAAATAGCGAGTACCAACCGGGAAAAAGTCCGACTGACCTAAATCCAAGTGTACCCAACAAATATCTAAAGAACTTTTGTTCTCATTCCTACGTTAATGTTCTGGGTCACGCACTAATATATGAAAGAGTGCATGACTAAACGCAAACACGCGATATTTAAACAAGCGAATGATCCAAATTCCCGTTCCCTCGAAATACTAAAGTCGCACTCTCTTCTCAACCACCGGCTGCATTCGTTTCCTGATAAAGCACTCCACGAATTTCATGGATACCACCAGTGGCAGTCCTACTGGGGCGCATTTTAGTCGACTAACAGGAATCCTATAAAGAATCAATTTCCTAGGAGGCGAGAATATATGGGTACATCTGAACGAAATTCAGCACCGCCTTTGATTCTACGAAAAGCCCGCGCACTCTTTCAGGCCTTGGGGAATGTAATAAGACAAGTCCAACACCTGTATCCTATCCGTAACCCACATAATTCTGCCTGATAGTTGTAGTCGTTTTATGGGTAAAATATCTTGAGACTGTGTAAAAAAGAGTACTCCCGGCGAATTTTAGAAATGTGTCCTTCTTCCTGGTCCTTATTCTTTCTGTGTTGTTTCAATTTGCTGAATCACACATAAAGAAGTGAAAGAGCTGTGAAATATCAACTAACGGTGACTTCATTTCAGGTTGCAGAATAAAAAATGAAATCGGCAGAATGGCATTACCGACAAAGGCAAGGGAGACTGGAATGGCCATTTCTGGCTTATTAGCCGTCGTCAGCCAGTCATACTCGACTTCCGAAAAGAAGCCTGTTTTCTCTATCCACGTAGTATGCCATGATCTCGTTTCCAACAGATCCACAAGATAAACCTGGACAACAACACGAGAGTTCGACCGTCGTGGCCGACAATGTCCACCGTATGCCCTATAGATGGGTGAGATCAGAGACGCTGACTTGCATGCGAGTTAGTTTGAAATGATAGCAGACTTACATTGCATCTACTGCAGTCCACATGCACTCCCCACCTGAATCCGGTGCCAGGACAAAGTCAAGAAGATCGGAGGCGGGGAGCACGCAGGTAGCGGGTGCGGCGTCAAATCGTGCCATGACGTGTCAACTCATCCCCTGGTTCACAGCGGACACCGACCAGGATTATATACAAAAATGCAAAATGGGGAGGTGACTTGAACCCTAATTGACGAGGCGTGCGCCTGCATCCGGACCTGTCGCCAAGCCCCAATGTTAAATTTGCTGTGGGTGCTAATTCCCGATAACGCCTGCCGGATTCCGATCTGGCTTTCGTGTTTGTCTAGCGCTTTTACCGCGTGTCTCGTTTTAGGCTCAATAGACAACAACAAATCCCACCAGACGCACAAATGGTGGAAGTCAAGTGAACCAGACAAAGTCGCCAATGTCGGACAGGTAAATATTCCAAGCTACCTAAAGTGTTTAAGTAGAATCAGACACTTATTTCAATTGTGTGATGCGGCAAGGGAGTTTTTAAAATAAAGTCCTAGTGTTAGGGAACTTTTGGGGCAGACGACAATATGGCAAGCACTTTTTTGCCTCAGACGAATTCTCGTCACTCCCGCGCTTTTATGTGGTTACGAGGTCAACTGACACGCGTGATTGTTTGGAGAAATCGAGCTATGTGCGTCCTTCCGTGTAAATAGGAGGTGGAGAATAGCGCCGGATAATAAGCGGCAGACGGTATCGTCAAGTAAGGTGGCGATGGGTACTGTTTTTGGTAGGGAGTCGGGATGAACACTATCGAGAAACGGGAAGGCGCGGATAACAGCATGCAACTAGTAGTTTAACCGTCTTTTGGTCATGGCAAATGTGGGGTCTTGACGACTTTTGTCCTTGCGCAAAAGACCGGTATGCGCAGCCTGACCATGACCACTTCAACTGTTGCCAGTAGATGCTGTGCCGATTGTTTTTTCTATTTCAGTGGGACCTTGTATATCACTTGGAAGGCTTCATTGGCACCCAATTTATGCCCGGGATTAACTTTATGTGATTCAGGCTGGTCGAGGCGTATTCTCAGGTGCTCACTTTATGCGTCTCTTTGAAAGAGAATTTTAAGATAAACTTTTCTATTCTGCAGCCAGCACGGTGGCTTTTAGTGGTCGTTCGACAATATTCTTTACAATAAATCGGTCAGGACACCCGTACTCGCAAAGCAGGTTCTCGGTCTTCCCGAACTCCCCTCGACTATATCTGTCGTGAAGAGTTGGGAATAAGTTCAGCAGCAAACCTACGCTCTGGATTATCCATCATCAGGCCTGTACAGTCATATAAGAGGGGTTAGAGTAGCAAAAATGTAAACATCTAATAAACAGCAGGTATTGGCGAGAGGGTTGACGATGTTCGGTAGTCAGAGGTCAGAGTTTAGTTCTGTCAGGGGTTTAGAGAGAGGGTGGGGGAAAGGGAAGTTGTCTGGAGATTGGGTACCTTTTCGCCTCGTCGCTGTAACGCGACGTGGCAGGAGGTGTGAAGGCTCATGCTGGGTTCATCTTTGGCCAAGACATCCTTAGGGCCTGTATGAACGCTTTATGCGAGCACAAAGTTGGGTTGGCTAGCCGTATGGCCACTGTCTCTGTCGCCCCAAGTATCTGTTGACGCAGGACACTTTAAATATGACTCGGAATGCCTGCTTGACGTCTATCCGGCGACCGCTGTCAACCAAGTGAGCCACAATTACGCCAAAGATGGAGTTTTCTACACCTTGATTTAGTCAATCAGGGATGTGCTCTCGCATGGGTTTTGATGGGCACCTAGTTGTTCGACTAATATGACCTAACCAACGGGTGCATGTGAAGACATAGATACACATTAAAGAGACCTGAAAAGGCAGTCTATCTTTACCTTCAAGGTGAAGAAATGGAGTACTTGTGAAAACTAGTCTTATCTTAGCGGCTGGGTATGTGCGCGCGATAACACCGTTTAAACAACTATGTAGCATTTCCATTGCCGGATTTCTTCGAAATGGCAAGGAGGGCGTTCTTCCATATATTTGTTGATAAATTTTTCAGGATACCGTTTTCTTTCAGAGTGTTTCGTACAATGACGAGTTTGTTTTCAAACCTATCTAGAGTGCATATTCTCCTAGTTTGATTGGTGAGGCAGCGGACCAAGCTTCGTTTTTGGCTTAGCGGGACAAAACTGTAGAAATTCGTGCGTTGCCCTGTCCATTTTTTCTTGCGAAATACACTTCTACTAATTATTCCATCCGGCATTCGATTGAGTAGAACATCAAGAAAGGGGAGGCACGCTCCGTTCTCTTTTTCCAAAGTGGAGGTTAACGCTGGGTGAGCCTGATCTACTTTATCTAGGAGGTTTTTCAAATCAGACTTCAAATTTCTCTACTTACTAACATACATTAGTTGGCCCTCTAATGGCATAATTGTAGTGGCCTGATGAGAACTTGTCGAGAGCAAACGCATGCCCCCCAAGTGGTTATCCGAATCCCCCTATGAGAATTTTGACATGTTCAGTTTGGAAGCAGTTGGTTTAATTGGGCGACTCAGAAGGTTTTGATTTCCAGAAAAACACTTCCATTTGAAGTTTTTCAAGGAAGTGTCAAAACATTCCGCCTAAGGAGGCTTCGAATCGCCACTGGCCATTAAGAAAAGGGTTGGAAAACTTGCCCCTTCCAATCTTTCTTTGCAAAATACACATCTCGACAGTGCCACAGAGTCAAAGGACAAGCTGTATTTAGTCAGACTCGGACGTACAATAACTGTCTCGAAAAAATATATCTAACCGTCCAAATTTACTTCATGTATGACTACAGTCCTTGCAATCCACTAATTGAGGTCGCATCCGACAGCGCGCGCTTACACATGCCGTAGGACAAGAACGCCCTCTCTAAAAGCCTTTATCGCGTGACGTGTATTCTTGCCACCTTCAAACCGTTATAAAGACACCTCTTGGCCGAAGTTCATATCTACAAAAGTGAGATTTGTGCACAGATTACTTAAGACCATAATGTAGGCCTACTTTTAAGAACATGCCCCGGAGAGTGAATTTCTTCAGTAAAAACTCGGACAAATGAAAGAAAGTATCAAATTGCTTTAATACAAATATTTCAGGCAATGTCACAGTGCTAGAGGACAATAAATTTGAGCATTTGGTGTGTCTTGAATGTAGCGGAGGGCGTAGGACATTTAAGTTCATCAGTGGAATAGGATATAGTAGACCAAATAAAATGCAAAATTTCTACACTAGAATAACCGTGCGGAGGATCGCAGACTCCCTGCGGGATGCGGAGTATTATTCGACACACTGAAGCAGATAGAGAAGGAAGGCTTAGATGAAGGGTGGCTAAGCTTTCGTCGCTAGTCTCGTGGGGTTGCGGCGCGGACTCCTTTTCAAAAGGGCGGCGGTGTTCGATATCTGTCCTTCTCTCTTACGGGCCCTCCCAACTATGTCTGCTCCACGGTCGTGACGGCACTGCTTGCTTCAGGCAGCTGTAGTTCCGGTCCAGTAGTTGTTCCCGGTTCATGAGGATGTTGACTCTGTTCGGCAAGCGATTCCAGGTAGTCCAGACACTCGGCCGAACTCAACTTCACAATGATGCTGGTTTTGGGGTCTGAGCCGGGATGTGTGATTTCAATGTGCCGCACTAGATGGTCCTTACGGTAGTACTCTTTTGAACAGACAGCACAAACGAAGGGCTTGAATCCCACGTGGCGCAGAGAGTGCCGTTGAAGATTGGAGCGTTGTGTGAACTGAGCTTGACAGTAGTTGCAGCGAAAGGCCTTATGTAGAGAATAGGTGTGTTCACAGAGGGCATTCAGAGAACCAAACACGAATCGGCACTGGTTACAGACGAAAGATTTGGCGTAACGACGCGAGGCCGCCCAAGCTTCATCAGTTTCCGTAGCCTCGGCTGCTGCGGCTGCTGTTGCATTGCTCTCCGGTGCTACAACGGCCGTGGATAAAACGGTGCTATTACTGGTGGAGGTGGTGGTAGGAGCAGCAGTGAAGGTGATAGAAGTTTGTGGCGTGGTGGTGGAGAGGCTGTTTGCTGGTAGGATTCGTGGACGAATGGGCCTAGGCATCGTTGGGGCTGTAGTCGTGTTTGATAATCCAACTGTGGTTGTAATTGGCTTCAGGGAGACCTGAGGAAACAGGGTTGTCTTTGGCTCGGGCTTTGAAAAAAGGCTCCTCGAAAGGGCTGTCAAAATAGTGGAATTCAAGCAATCGATGGCGGTCACTGTGAGCGGATGCTGGACTGGCGGTTGCGGCCTTTGCGGTAGTAACACCGGTTTCTGTTGCTGTTCTTGTGGCGGTTGGGGTTGCAGCGGGGTTGATCCTTTCGGCACAACCCCTTCCTCCCTCTTCCCCTCTTCAGGCTCTGGCCCTATAGTGGGTTCGTGTGTGGTCAAAGTCTCTTCGACCTGTGGGATCTTACAGGGCCGACAAAACTTCCGTTTTCTACGGGATGAAGATGGGGTTATTGAAGGGGTAGGGACAGAAGGAAAAGGAGAGCAGGATGGGACGTCGTCCTCGGGTTTGATCAAAGACTGCGTGGCAGAGTCACAGGATGTGTCCAGCTGCTGCGTGGGTGTTTGTGGGTCCGATGTAGCGGTAGAGGGGCTACCTGTTCTTCCATTACAGACACGCTGTTTTTTCACTTCTAACTCAGACTCGCTACCAGCGTCAGCTGCGAAGGAATTAAAGGGAGAGATTTCGCCGCTTTCTTCATGCCGTTGGAAACACCGGTTCACTATGAAGCTGCGATTGCAACTATTGTCCGCCTGGTAAACCAGAAGTGCTTGAAGATTGATCTTAGTGGCCATTGATGGAAGTAGGGTTTCCACAAGAACACGGGCCAACTGGGCATCGTCAATATCAAGTGACGAGGGCCAGCCAGCGTTGGGCGAGGCGTGACCGTTTTTCCGTCCTCCAAGGACTGGTTCTGTTAGCCCACTGTCCGTCAAAGTGTCTAAAAAGAGGCGGAAAATAAAATGCTTATTATCACATATATGCGGAACTTTGACCTCTCTCTAGGGTTGGGCTTATTCTGGCTGCGACTTATTTCGCATATATTTGTGGTTCAAGAATTGTTATGTTGTAGTCTTTTGATACCGCTATCTGAAAACCTCTTTTCAGCTTTATTTAGTCAAAGATCTGATGCAGTATTCTCATAGCATACTGTCACGCTAACTTCTGGACGAGGCCTAACTGAAAGATAGAGAAAAAATCAAACAAAACATGGCTCGGAGTTAAAGAATAGGATCAAGAAAGAGTGCAATTTTGCGTTCAAGCTCACAATGGCGATTGCAGCTATCACGGTGGGAGGCTCCACGTACGACCCTTAAAACCTGTCCTCGTAAAGTCCCGATCGAGACCGTGGTAGCTCAACTGTCAGCACGGTGTATCTTAGGGGCTTCAGAACGACTATCTTTCTACATAAAAGACTGAAAATCGAGCTGGCTGATCGTACCTCTTCTGTTTGAATCGTCAATGCAAAAATGTCCTTTTAAAAAATGCGCCTAACCTTGAAGACATTCTTTGGCATAAAAACAGCCAAAAGTGTATCCTGTCTACTTTTTTTCAAAATATGAGTTATTAAATTTTTTTACTATTTTAAATTTTTTTCAACTCTCAAAAAACGTACGTCAGATTTCATCAAACTACGAAAAGTCAAGCCCAAACCAAAAAGCCCCTGAACTTTGGACAAAAGTCCCCTTTGAACATTGAAACAACTTCCTTATTCTCGTTTCACCACTCTATCCTCCCTCCTCTAAAGTTATCCACGAGTTCGCCTTCTTGTGTATATCGACATTTCCCTTCAGGTTAGAACATCCACCGGATGCGAAGAACCAAAAACCCATTCTAGGGTAAAAGAAAGCGAGATTCTGTTGGCAGAGACAGTTATTACGCTATGTTAGGCGGGCATCTCCGGTTTCGTCTGGTATGGTGACAGGAGACAGAATGTATTATTATTTGTTTCGATGGGTTGAGAAAGCTTTACTTTGTAGAAACATAAGCGCCTGGGTTTCTTTGTCGTTGTTCACTGTAGCGTTCTTTTTAAAGGCCACACCCTAATCATGTTTTTCAAATGTCGAGTCTCTCCGGCCAGAACTCGAGGCATGAATGGCTGATGACGGTGATTATGTCAGAAATGACCACTCCAGACACCTAGGTCTCTGTCGGTATTCCTTCCATACTACTTGTTCCTCAGAAATGCATGCGCGAACTTTGAATAAACCCTTCGGAATAAATATTTTTAGGCTCAGTCCTCACAGATGCGTCATGCGGCGGCAAAAAATTGACGATGCACATGCCTGGGCTTTTAGCTAGTACCTTTACTGTCAGTATGATTAGTCACTACTGATGTGCCCCCCAAAACGTCCCACGCGGTAGATACGCTGGACCAACTGCGGCAGTCGTTATTGGGAATGCGCACCCACAGAAAATGCCAGCATTGAGGTGTGGCGACAGACTTGATTGCAGGCTAATGTCGCGCAGATTGGGGTCTGTGCCCCCCACTTTCTTGGTGCATAAAATACTAATCAGTGTGTTCTGTGAACCAGGGGTCTGGCGGTACGCCTAGGTGCGGGTTTTCGCTGTGCCAGTCACGTGCCCCAGTCTTCTTTTCTCTGGCTTGACACCGGATTCAGGTGGAGGAGGCGAGAGTGCAGTAGATGTTGCACAGCTCTACTACAACCTTAGACTAACTCACGTGCAGGTCACCGTCCCTGCTCTCACTCTGCTATGAAATATATGGTGGACCTCGTTCGTCACGACAATCGAACGCTACTGATTGTTTCTCGTTAGGTGATCACCTGTCGGGGACTTTAGAGCGGATTTCCGAGACAAAGACGGAATTATGATCTTCCTTTTGCACTCGCATCGGTAAAGTGTCGGTCCGATTTAGCATAGTCTTCTGATCAACAACGATTTTGGGCATATAATGTAAGTGTCTCTAGAATCCCCGGTTAGGGCAGACTTTCCTATCATAATGTTGAATAGCAGTATGTGTTCGGACACTTCAGTTCAGTTCAGTTTTATTGAGGGAAATTTAGGTCTTCACCTTTGAATTCCCTATTTGTTTGCAAGCAACTGCAAAATCTCAAAAAATGGAAAAGGTATCATAAGGGTAACAATCGAAAACTCGATATAGATAGACGGACTGTCTCGAGTGTTAGCGGTACGAGTAGTACAGTGGTCTTTTAGAGTGCAGGGAAATAAATAGTATCCCCAGTGACAAAATTTGCATAGGTGCATGCCAGTAAGCGTAGGCGATGGGTTGGAGACATCGATAAGAGTATCGATGGAGTTAGCTGGAGGATTGTAGTCAGAAATGCGTTTTATAATCCACTTTTCGATGAAGGACAGTCGTTTTTAGCGAAGAGACTCGACTGATAAACTGCCTTCTTGCACCTCAAAATTTAAACCGCGCGCGGATAACTGGATTAATGGCTTATCCAAAGTGAATATCATGTTTGCTGCCGAAACTTCGTAGGAGGTACAGGACAGCTAACTGACCTCGAAGCAGCTACTATAGTCTCAAAATTATGGTTGAGTACGGGAATAGATACCCCATCCTATTAGAGGTGGCCTTGGGTTAGATTCCAGGGGCTATTTATCCTCGTGTCCTGACCCTACCTGCAACCCTAGCTCCCTTGGAATTAAGCGTAAGACCGCCTGTAGTGCGGTGGATACCTATTCTTGTGCCCTGCCAAAATTATTAATCAGTTTGCTAATGCGAGGACGGACAGTTGCTTCGGTCAGATGTGGCTGTGCAGCCCCACCTGAAGTAAACAAAATCCAGCCACCTGTAATACAGGATCGGTGGTAATAGGGACCGGGAAACGCACGGGCGATGAGGTCAAGTAGTTGTATGCAAAAGAAAGGCCATTGAGTATGCGCGGTTGTACTTTGAGTAGTAGTTGCCCTAACCTCTAACCCCTACCCCCACCCCAACAGCATTGTGTCCATCAGGTGAGGTTACATAACCACGTCTTACCGTTGCTCCAAACTCAACTCAACTCCTCTCAATTTGCTCATCTCCAAGGAGAACTAAAGGAGAGGCGTTGGTTTATCCAGCGTTCCTTCACAAAGTATCTGAAAACGTCTCTCTGCGGACTTCAAACAGAAGACGCTTACTTTGCGCGGCTGTCCATGGGTCAGGTTGCAGTGTGGCAGGTGGCCTGGACGGGAAGGTGGCGGCAGCGAGTCAGGCTGAAGACTAGTGGAGCATGACCAAACACGCACAATGCGCCGCCACCACGAGCGCGCCTGTCATGCTGTGTGCGCAGGCTCGAGCGTCCCCGCACGCGGAAAGCCATGGCATCGATTGGTGGCGTGAGCTCCGGCTTGAACATGGGGCAGGCCACAGAGGGCACGGCACGACTAGCGAAAGGGCTGCCGTCGCGTGGACAACGGCAGACGTAGGCGAGAGCACACAGAAACGCAATCCTCGCATAAATTGGGCCAAGCCCCCGTCCCCTTTCCTTGTGTACTGAGGTGGCTCCCATAACTGACGGCAACCGGATAAGAACGTCTTGTTGGCGCACCTTTAGAGGTAGGCGCTGTCGTAGTTCGGATGGTTCAACACCCGAACCCCCATTATGGTGAAAAGTGGTGCGGTAGGCGTATTGGTCTGGATGCTATATTAAACACTCAACGGTGTCTTCAGAAATGCAAGGATTATAGTGTTGGAGGGAGAATAACGAGACCATGGTCTACTGTTTGCCGCACAACCGCTGGCAAAAAGACTGCGTGGGCACATGTCATACTACTCAAAATCCACAATATGTTAGGAGTTCATTGACACCAGGCATAATGCTCCTATAGGGACCCTTTTCATTTTTTAAAAACCATATATACCCCCTTGTCGTTAGAATACGTACTGTTAGCACTGGAAGGTTACCTCACTTTTTGTTTATAATGACTATAAGAGCCTATAAACTAGAGACATCACCAAAAGATATGAACCGTTCTCGGGAAGTTGCCAACTATCTATGAGTAGCAAAGTCTTCCTCACATCTTTTTTCCTACTCAGATCGCATCCAATGAAGCCGAGGAACCATATGGGAATGCTGTTATCGATTTAATTTGATTTTCGAACCCAACTGGGGCCGTCCGCCTTGCGTCGGGCACCTGCTCTAGGGAAGTATCAGAAGGTAACATAGAAACTGGAAACCAATTATCCAGAAGTTAAACCGGCAGAGCATTGGTGACAGGGATGAACATTTTGCCCAATTTCCCAACTGGGTAACTCAGAAAGCCCAAGATTTTGACCCGAGTCCATTTGTTGTCCAACATTTCAAAGCCGAATACCCTCCACCTTCTGCTGCCGGTCCGCGTCCTCTTGACTGACATTAGAATTATTTAGTCTTAGAGGCTAGCTTTGAATCCCGAAGAAACAGTAACAATGGTCATTCCCCTCATCCAAGCAGAAGAGATCAGTTTGATGCGCAGCATCGGTTGCAACATTGCACTGTCGATTTTGGGATAGCTCAGAGTGAAGGGCAAAAACAAACAAGTTTTGGAATCGGGGGAAAGATTCCGTTGATTCCATGAATTACCGCGTCCAGTCAATCGTTCCTCTTCTGACGCGCTTGATCTTTATGCAGTTCTGATTCAACAAATTATGGTTCAGTAAATTTCAAGGACGTCTTACTTGGCAGAAATTACACATATACAGTGCGAATGGAAGTAATTTGTCCCCATGATTGTATTTTGTTACTGTTACGCAGCATGCATGGAGAAAAGGGGCGACCCCGCTGTATATTTAAAACGTCAGATTAGTAGAGAAACGCTTCCTGGGATGGGTTCGCACGATGAGCGTGTATATTCATCCACATACCGGACCGTACTGCTATTTTGCCATACTAAAACAGGTTGTGTTTGCTCACGACATGCGGCACCCGAGTTGTGCTGGGTCTCCATGAGGTCTTAACTACTGAAGTGCGTGCGTGTGATACACTTTCAGCGGAAGCCCTCACCGTATCAGCCAATGTGCTCACTCTCAGCCCCCTACCCCTTCCCGTCAAACTGATGTGGGCAGTCGATTGGACCATGGGTTAGGAAGGAGGGAGCGTTAAGTCTGTACAATCCAGATGCAGCGCATATTTTGCTCGTTCTAAACAACCAAATGCGCCCTAGGATTACCAAGACGTGTCCTTTCGGACACGGCTCACATTGCATTGATTACCTCTTGATATGGTCTCTAGGAGATCTGCCACATCCGTAACATCCGAGCTCGTGTGTGGCTGGCTGTAAACGCCAAATTTATGTCATGCCGGACGCTGCTAACCAAATCCTTTCCGAGAAGCCAAGCTAGGGCAGGACGTCGTAAACTTGGCCAGAGAGAAGAGATCTGGTCTGTCTCCTTCCGCCAGAATGGATATAAGGTGTTTTAAAACTATCACCACAGGCAAATTGCGTGACTTGCTAGATTAACCACCTGACGGGACAAATCGGTTTGCCCCTAAGAACGAGGACCAGCCTGCGATTATTTCTTCCTGCTGTGGCCTTCGTGGCAATCTCACTTATGTGAGATCCGAGACCTCACTGCGGCCTGGTAATCCGGCGTGCGTAGACGGATTGTTTAACTTTTTAACCACTAAGCTTACGGTAGCCCCGAACTCCCTGTAGACCTTTTTTAAATTTTTCCATGCCACTGGATCGTGATTCGCATGAGAAGTGGGAGGGAGGTAGATACATCGAAAGTCCGCTGAACTATAAAAGAAATCGACCTGTGAGTCACAGCCGCATCGGACTGGGCGCAGTGGTAGGCCCAAACGGTTGGGGTGGCTGAACGGTGTATCAACTCGAAAGCCCAATAGAAGTTACAGCAGTCAGTATGTTCTGGGGAGTAGGAGGGGAAGAAGAAGATGATGAAGAAGAAGAAGAAGAAGAAGAAAAAGAAGAAGAAGAAGAAGAAGAAGAAGAAGAAGAAGAAGAAGATATGGACAGTGGCTTCATTGCAAAAGGAGATAGGGGTAATCCTGTAGGCGTCGCCGACGCCATCGGCATACATACCATGAACCTCGGACATTTCGACCGAGTGCAGAGCCGGTGCATACGAACAAACGTGTAAGGAGCGAAGGTCAAAGCGCCAGCCAGTTAGGCAGGCCTCTAGCGTCAAGCGCACAATGTTTACATCTCGCGTCGCTGGCTAAATGCACGCTCGCACATTGGTACACGCTGCCCGAACAGACGCACATGAGCCCACGATCGAGTTTTGCCAGGGTGGTGGTGGCGGCACTGTAGGCAGCAGGATGTATATCGCACGACGTTTCGGCCAGTTTTAACTGCAATCCAAACAGTAGGCTAACTGGATAGCCCAACAGCTCGCAGAATCCCCAAGTGTCTATTACGATGTGTGGATTAGGTAAAAAAAGGCGTGAATACGTTGAAACCAACTAACTTTAGGGATGTTATTCGCCTAAACTCCACGGCCACAATATTTGCTCCCCCTGGTGTCCTCCCAGTTCAGGGTCTAAGAATGCAGTAATATGACGGAACATTAATCGCAAATATGGGAGCATTCATAATTTTGATTAGAATCTCAATCTAGCGGTATAGTGTCTTTCCTTATCAGTTCCTAGTTTGGAATTTAAATTTGTCAGAGAACATAACATTCTAGGCTCCGAACTATCACACCACTAACTTTTTTTCGCATCTTCTGTCACGAGCTCGATACGACCGAACTATCAGGCTGGAGAGAGGAGTATGAACACTACTGAGGCAGAGATGGTGGTGGGGGAGG